CCTGTTTGACGCAACGAAGGACACTCCTAACACGTAGACAGGTTGCGTTAACTTCTCCAGATCCGGAAATCAATAACGATGCTCGGGATTATTTCACACGTCACATGAGAATTCTCGAGAAAACGATGGGCTCTTGGCCCCTTCCAGAGATGTTAAAACAAATAGATGCCGTGAGGGAGGCCTTCTCTGCCGATACGAGGAAGCCATTTGTCCTGAAACCCAGCTTCCCTTATGGTAGCCCACACCCCAGTACACACTCGAGCCCACCTCGTGCAACTACTTATAAACCTCCCATGCTGCGGACTACTGCTCTAGACCCGAATCTGGACGTCCACGGTGGTCCTCATTCACACGTCAGTTATCATCCCATAACGCCCATCTCTGTTGGATCCGGGGACGGCAAGAGTGACTCTCCTTCTGTACAGTCACTCTCCATGCTTGGTGCCGGCCAAAGCACGCAGCCACCGCTGTCCCACACACTACCCCTGGTAGATCCTCCTTCATGGAATCCATCTCGAATTTTTGAGTAAGTGGTAACCCCTATGTCTATCAGATATGACATACATACTCGTCGTACCTAAGTAGCTAACGCCCAACGCCCCGAAGCCAATGGAACTCAACGTTTGGTACGCCGCTTCCACCCCAACCGGCATCGGTGACTCCCCAGGCAAGTTCTCTAAACGTTTCCTCAGGTGCTCCCGAAGTCCCTACGACTCAGGATATGGCCATCGCCAACGCGTCGCTATCGGCCCCGCCGCCACAGTTGCCTCACCAGCAGTACTCGGCCCCGCCTGTGCAGGCCTTCGTCACGCCGGCCATGTGGCAGGAGTCTGTAGCCAGTGTCTACGAATCTGGTGGTCTCAAGCGACACTGGGATTATGATGGCGGCGGCGCCTCTATCACCGAGGCGATGAATAAGCGGCGGTAAGCCGGCTCTTTGTCAGGGATTATCCGGCTATGCCGTACCGTACCATGCCAAATAGGTTACATACCACCTTGTTTGTTGGCTTAGAGTTGATTTGGCCAACATGGGTGGTGATTCATAATTCAAAATGAATAGCGCTGATGCATTCTGGAATATCGGGAGGGGGAGGGGGAGCCATCAGACGTGGCTAATAACCAAGTCGGGCGTGAACGGGACTGGCACCAAGCATCTTTTACTCTATTGGGGTGCGTGTACAACAGCATAGCAATGATGGACTACGGGATTTACGAAAAATTTGGGCACGATAGGAGGAGAGCGACGCTATGAGGCACCACACAAAAGGGGGACAATGGAGATCTATCTCTTGCCTTTGAGCTTCTGGTTCTAGTTTCCAGTTTCTAGCAGAAGCACGACGGATGTTATTGCTAGTCAGTGCCGAGTGTACGATATACACGGAAACAGAGGGGAGGACAAGAGAGAAGAGCGAGAGAAGAGCTACGTCATAGACGATACGATACCATGCGATAACGATACTATTACTACTACTACTACTACTACTACTACTACTACTACCACCACCAGTCGCCTATCTCTGCCTTGTTTCCTTTTCCCTACGGGGTATAGGATATATGCTGCTGCTCCAACCTACCCTACTTCATTCGGACAAAAGCGGATGGGGGGGTTCGCCATGACATCCACCGCGTCGGGTGGGGCCGACTTTTCTTTTCGACCTGGACTCGGAGGGGGCCGAGGTCCCATGAGGCTGGCTGGGCTATCTATCTTCCTTCCAGAATACTTACTTACTCACTAGCTACCTAGCTAGGGTGTCGTTTCTCCTTCGGTCTCCTCGTTTGGGTGAATGTGTTGGTTGGTTTTTTTTTTTGGGTGGGTTGCGGCCGTGGTTGGTTGGGTAGCATCAGGAACGCTTCTTTTTTCTTTTTTTTTTGGTCTCTTTTTGGTCTCTTGGAGTGCCATCTCTGCATTAGTTAGGTGAGGCAAGGAGAAGGAAAATGTGGGAAAAAGGGGGGGGGGGGGGTTGGTTTCGGACTGAGACGCTTGTCTGTACGGGTAGGTATACACACTAATTAGTCAGGATGGATGGATGAATGGATGAATGGATTAGCTTTGCATGTTTTCTTGTCGTATATCGTATCAGTAAGTAGTGTTCTTGACGCTTCATGTCCCTCTTGGCCTTGCATGTGTGGACATGCTTTTGCTTAGTAGTGGTGGTTGGCGGCGACGGTGCTTAGATGAGGTTGTGGTTCTTGTTGTTGTTGTTTTGCTCGGTAGTCTTGTTCGAGGGATAGAGCGAGGCGGTAGATTACGGAGCCGTGGAAAGGGGGCAAGGGGCGCGCGCATGGATGCATGAATACACCATACCATACCATACCATATCGTGCTATTCTCTGTCTCTGTTGTAAACGTGTCGAGGTGTCATACAGTAGCTTGATGCTACCGGTATAAAAGGAAGTGTAAGTGTCTTGGGCTGGTCTTGTCTGGTGATGATTTGTGTTTTTTGCCACAGATAAGCGCTAGGCAGGCTGTTTTGCCTTTTTTTTGGTCTTTCCTCAATATGGCCGTGCCAATGAGGACATCTAATCCATTAGTCTGTATTCCCCCGACAGGTCACAAGGGGGTGGGAGTCTCTTGTCCTGAAATAGGGAGGCGCTGATGGTTGGTGGTGAGGGTATTGTGTAAGTAAGTAGGGTAGGGTAGGTTAGGTATTGTATTTGATTTTTTTTTTTTGGATTTTTTTTAGAGGGGAGGGATGGAACGTCGTCGTGCTGTATCTTTCTCGGACATTTTGACGAGATGGATACCTGCCACCTAGAGTAGATGGCTGGCTTTTTCCCTTCCCTTCCGGCGAGAGGAGGCAGGCAGGCAGGCAGGGAGATATGGACAAGAAGCGAGGTCGATCGCATCATCCGCTGCCGTGCTGGCGGGTGAATGAATAGGCGAAAGCGAGAGTGGGTAACTGGGGTAGGTAGACGACTCGCCTTTCTTTCTGCCTGCCTTTCTGGAACGTGTTTTATGTGCGTGTCGTGTCGGCAGTTGGCTGGCTAGTCGCCGTCTCTCCTCTCGTTTCCTCGTGCGTGCCGTGCCTTGCCTCATGCCTGGATGATACCGTGCTATACCAGACTAGTGTACGCATCCACTACGTACCGAGTATACCGGTAGTTTGAGATAATGATGGCGGGGGTTACCGCTTCCTCCCCTCACTGCGTGCCTGTACGCTGCTGTAGGCGTGCCTCGCTTGGAGCTTGGTGGGCAGGTCGTGTAGGGTCTCGTCGTAGTGCCCAGTGGGTAGTAGTGTCGTAGCAGCAGATAGACACCGACATAGCAGATAGATTGATGCGTCGGTATATGCCTGCATGCATGTGTCACTAAGTCAGGGTCGTGCCGAGTGCCTGGCATGCCGATTCTCGAGGTTGACGACGACCTTCCTCACTTAGATCCCTAACCTGGTGGACCTTGTCCATGTATACGACACTGCACTGCTGTGGGCTCGTTGGCCGTTCTCCTCGCCAGGGAGGGTGGCGATTGGTTGTGCTCCGTCGTCGCCGAGTTCGATTGCTTCCACTATCCGTAGATGCTTTACTTGCTTAGGCATTCCGCTCCCGGCGTTGGCTGTGGTTGTGTATCTCCTCCCCTTGCCCAACGGCGATGGATCGTGTGGACACTCCTCGTACGGAGACAGCGGAGTTGTTTGAAATACACTTTACGCATACTTTGCATTACTTGGCTTGGTGATGATCCGTTGTTCCATGTATGTGTAAAAAAGGCTTTCGAAATACGTAAGCATTCATGTATACTATGTATACTAAGCATGTAAACTAATCGCAAAGATAAAGAAGAGAGACCTACCTACCTACCTATCACATCGTCCTCGGGCGAGAGAAGCGAGGCCGAAAAGAGAAAGTTGATCTGCTGGTTCGTCTATCTTCCGACATCTTGCCCAAGGTAGTATACAACCTGGCCTATTGGATACCATGCCTACCTAGCCTGCTATGCATTATACACTACCTATCGTGAGTTGTCTTCTGCTCGAGATAGCAGCTGAACATGGAACAGCGAACATCTAGAAGCCTTCCTATCTAGGACAACAGCGTCAAGGCAGCACGACATAAGCCCATCCATCCGCCCGTGAGATGCAGCAGCCGCACCCTGCGTTGCATCACATGGTGCATTGGATGCGGTCATCCTTATACCGCTTGGCAAGTCGGCTCGCTCGCTCTGTCGTCTCAGTCTGCACGATTCTAAATAGCTCGTGGACGTGTTTCCGATAGACAATGGTTGGCACTGTTGTATAAGATACCCGCACAGTTACGCGCTCTGCCACCCAACACTATGTGCCCCAAGCACCACGATGCTCCATCGTGTCCCATGTCGAGCCGGAGATCTCTCCCTCACGGTTCACCGGCATGAAGGGACACGGTTGGCGTGTCTGCAGAACTCGGTTCGCATGGGGACATGGGGGGTCTGGCATGGGTCCAAGGATACAGAGGATAGGTCCACTAGCAGTTACGGACACACTCACTCTGGCCATTTCAAGTTGTTTCGCTTAGTCCCCGCTGGTCTCTTGGCTTGTATACATCATGTACATATGCATAACATCTACACATGTATACTCTTGATTAGTAGGTACCTGCCTACAGTGGTAATCATGTTTTTTGGTGGGGGGGAAACCGCTTTAGTAGTATGCACAGAAACGTCTAGAAGGTATGCATCCAATCTAGTATAGAAGACATGCATATTATTGTTGCGTTTGTGTGTGGGAGTTGATGTTACTTAGTACCTAGTGTTATGTCTGTGCATAAGAGAAGCCCTCGGTGTTTGAACTGGCTTGAAGGGATATGTTACTGCATATAGACTGGTGTGAGTAGGTACTAGTAGTATACTGAGTAAGTACCACCTAGGTACTGGTATATATCTTTGGAAGTTTAATCAAGCTAATTAAGCTTAGTATATACTGTCTAAGTAATCATCGCAATACTAGCTATCTTTCAAAAAACAAACGTAGACACTACTTTAGTAGCTTTCTTGTTCCGAGGAAAAGCGACACCTTAATTGGGCATCTCGATTGGTCTAGTGGTGAGGATACCTGCTTGTCATTCTTAAACGAACCGCAGGTGGCCGGGGTTCGATTCCCCGATCGAGAGTTTTTTTCGTGCTTGTTCTTTAGATTCACTTTTGTAAAAATTTCCCCCAATTATTTCTTCTACACATGTTTTTTCTCTGTCTTAATATCCCCTTTGTGTATTATAGCCGAGGGGGAATAGACCTTGTCCTTTTTTTAATACTTGTTGTTATTCTTACCATGACTTTAGATAAGCTTGCTAACATCATAGTAAACGGGATCCATCTAGGTACCGAGGTGAGGCAAATCAGGGTAGTCTGTTTCTAGTTTGTTCTTGGGGGGAACAGCACTCTTCCCTCAACTACCTATTCTACCTTGCTTGATATTAGAGACCTGGTGTAGTCTGTGTAGATGGATATCCCTGCCCCAGTAGGGAAAACGGTCCTATCCAAACTTCCTTTTCGTTTTAGGGTCGCTTGTGAGTTGTGGGGTTTGTTTGGTTTGCTCTGCCAGGTGGTTCCATTGGTGTAAGATTTCACCCCCGCAACAACTACGGACCTCACTGCCGCACTCCCGATGGGGCAGGATAGAAACCAGACCAAGGATAGATGTGCTTGAAGTTGTGAGGGATGAAGAGCTCAACATATGTGAGGCACTGGAAAGATGGACGTGGGTTGTATAATATTAGATTTTAAGTGTGATATAGAATAGCTTTCGCTGAAGTTAGCCACCTGGGCTTGTGCACACGGCCATCACCGGCACGCGGCCGGGATGAACAATTAGAGATGGGGAGTGCCGGGTCTCTCTCTCTCATCTCGTCCTTACCCCGGAGCCATGACATCCGCGGAATCGGGGGCTCGCCCGGCGGCGGTTGTCATATATAAGCGCTCTTCACCGCTATCACGACTCTCACGGCTGTGAGAAGACACTTCCTCTTCCCCTCAGGGCAGTAGCAAGATAGACAACAGCAACGTAGTGTCATCGCCATGCGCCTCTTAACTACTATCTTCACCTCCGCGCTCGCGCTATGCGGGATAACTACGGCAGGGGGGCTCGTGAAGCGCGCGTCGCTGCAGCAGGTGAACGACTTCGGGGCCAACACCTCGGGCACTAAGATGTACATCTATGTCCCGCAGAACCTGGCCACGAGCCCGGCTATCATTGTTGCTATCCACTACTGCACCGGCACCGCGTCTGCGTACTACACCAACACCCCGTATGCTACCCTCGCGGAGAAATACGGCTTCATCGTCATCTACCCCGAGTCTCCGTATGACGGCACCTGCTGGGACGTGTCGTCGACTGCGGCTCTTACGCATGACGGAGGCGCGGATAGTAATTCCATCGTGAACATGGTGTCGTATACGCTGGACACGTATAACGGGGATGCGAGCCGGGTGTTCGTCACAGGGCTGTCGTCGGGCGCCATGATGACGGTCAGTTCTTTCCGTCTTCCCACATCTATTCCCAATTATGATTTCCCCTGTGGCATTCTCCGACTGGTTGCTCATGTTTACCCGTAGAACGTCCTGGCAGCCACGTATCCCGATGTGTTCGCGGCGGGCATCGCGTATGCCGGCGTGCCGGCCACTTGTTTTTACACGGGCACGGTTGACGGGTGGAACAGCACCTGCTCGCAGGGTCTGCTGAACCTGACCCAGGAATATTGGGCCAACGCGGCGCTTGACGCGTATCCGGGTTACGACGGCCCTCGGCCGCGCATGCGTATTCACCACGGTACTGCCGATACCACGCTGTATCCGCAGAACTACTACGAGACTATCAAGCAGTGGACTGGTATCTTTGGATACTCGACTACGCCGTCTGAAACTTATCCTAATACCCCTAGGAGTCCATATACGCGCTATGTGTTTGGGCCTAACGTTGAGGGTGTTCTGGGTGAGGTGAGTCGATATGTTGTCACCTCTACCTCGGCTTCGCAAAGCCGCCTTGACCTTCACCCTCAGGCGCGTGAGGAACCAGGCGCTGACCAAGATGGTGTTAGGGTATAACGCACAGTATCGATATCTTCGGCGATGCTGACATGGAATGGTTCGGTTTTACGGTGAGCGCCTCTTCAACTATGACGTGCTGCTGCTAGAGCAATTGGGCCGGGGACAGCAATTGAGCAGCAGCAGACTGAGCTGACATTGGCCAATGTAGGACTCGAGTACAACAACCACGACAAGTAGTCCGAGTTCGACCTTGGCGACTACCACAAGCGCGACGGCCACTACGACAGCCGGGCCGGGGGGAGAACATTACACCCAATGCGGCGGGATTGGATGGACCGGTGTGACCTCGGTAGGTTTGCCGAAATTCTTATCATCGTTGCAAAAGCTAACAAGGCTTCTCCCTCAGTGCGTAAGCCCGTACACATGCCAGAAAGTGAATGACTGTAAGTAAAGCCTTGTCTCCCGAGGAAGCTGCCCGGCTCATATAGCGGTAGACTATTCCCAATGCCTTTAATGCAGCACTAGGCCTCAGCGGGTAGCCGGGGTTGTAAAAGCTTATGCCTAGTTGAAGCCACGGCCTAACTCGTTCAGTTTCGCGTTAATGACCTCTGGTAAAGAGTATGCGTATATGATACTATATCGTAGGCGACGTGGCTGTAGTGACAAGGAGACTAGGCATCATTGGATATCGAAACCAGATACATTTCCATCAATTAGAATAAATAGCAAAGATGGTCGATGTGTCTTCAATATGGTATTCAGGGTCATCTGTGCCGTATCTCAAGGGAACTACAATTCAAAAAAAGCTTTCTGATATATGCCTGTGACTATGACGTGGGGAATACTTTTATTTATAGTACCCGTTGTTTGATTTTGTGACGGGGACAACCATGCTTGGGTCAACACCTTTAAGCGCTTCGAGTTGGTATACTTGAAGGTCTCGCTGATGTGGCTGAAGCTGAGGTCTGTATGGTTTGAGCATTTCGAAAGAGCCGAAGAAGATGCTTTTGATTCACCTTTAACCGTGAAGACTTGCCACGCCATGAGCCGCCACTACACGGCAGTTGAAGCTTGGAAGAAAGCTTCCGGTGACAATCACACCAGAATTTATAATGATCAGCACTGGAAGTATACAGCGCGACCTTGGGGATACGTGGGTCGGAGAGGAAGTCCAGAAAGGTCTGAAAGGGTTGAGCAGCTAGAAAGGCTGGTCCCAGGTACTCGATATCCTTGTCGGGGCCGACGAGCAGTGGAACCTCGGCCTCGCAGAACTCCTCATCGTCAGACCAGTGATCTGTCCAGAAATCCATGCGAGGAAACCTGCCGTTGATCTCCAGGTGTAGGGTGCGGAGGCTGCCTTGGTCTGCCATTTCGCGTAAGAGAGGGACGTAAAGCTCGTTGAAGGAGCGAAGATTCTTCTTTGGGTAGATCTTAAGGTCCATGATACGGATGCGAAGCCTCGGCGATAGAGGAGTGATTGGTTCGGCCAACAGGCCCGGAGGCTTGGTCCGATCCGTGATATCCAACCAGAGATCGTGATAGAAGATCTCGGCTGCCTCTGCATAGAGTCGCCGGGATGCCAAGAATATCTTTAAAACTTGGATGTGTTCCTCGCAGTCCAGGAGAGCAAGGCCAAGGACTTGAGCTCGTAATTCAGGGGGCAAGTCGAAGAGACGGAAAGGGCCCCTGGGTCTCCTTCTCGTGGTGACCGATAGTCCTTGGGATGGCTTGGGTCTGAAGGCGATCGATTTGCTGCCAAACGGTTTCCTTTCACTCCCCCATTTTCTCGCGACCATTTTTCATGGCAGACCAATCAATGTATATGTGCGCAATGGCACTGCTAGGTAGGAGATGAGAATCACTCACTCCAGACCTCGTAGGCTACCGGTATAATCGTATAGGGGGGGCGGGATGATTATAGCACACGTTATATGTATCAGCAAGAGATTTTATAAAGCGAGGTGGATGTGCTGCCTTAGGTGGGCTTATGTAAGTGTATTGTTGTTATAGCCCGAGGATTATAGACATGGAGTGGACAAGGTTCAGTTGGAATGAAGATTGATACCTATGTGTAACTTCAGGCTGTTACAGTACCTGTAGGTCGGTAGTATATAATATAAGTTGTACAGTGTAATATCTGGAATATGACACATTGTAGGCCGCCCGCAGTACCTAGATACGCTTATACTCGGCACTGTACAACAGACGGTGTAGGTCACAACTGGCTGGCCGAGGTACGTTAAGCCCCATTAAGCACCCCCATAGATACTAGGTAGGTTCCTTATCCTCGATCAGGGACCCGATTCGAAGGAATATTACTATAGATACCTAGCTGTAAGAGAATGTTCGCCATTTGCCTATAGAGAAACTCGAGCTTTTGCCCACTAATATTAGGATCTAGAGCGTAAGACTCATCAGGCTTTAGGGCAGAGTCGTTTAGGGCTTCAAACATTGTCCTTTCATGTTCAATATAATCCATAATAATGAACGGCCCAAGGCCGGTAGGGTTCTCGGCTGCAGTTCCGAAGTAGTAAATCTTGGGCACCGGAATAGTAGCCTTTGCTGCGATACACCGTATTGTAGCCACCCGTAGCGGACTTTCTCTTCAGAGAACTTGACAATGCCTGCTCTCGTTCGTATCGTCATACATATGCAAGGGCTGTTTCTGTCTAAATACCTTTGCTGGGGATCCTCATAGTCGCTGACGAGCCATCCTTATACTCTAAGCGTAGAAAATGTTATATCGCCCTCGAATCGGCTTGTGAAGCTCTACGGCCTCGCCAGGCCTGTACTTCTTAATGAGGTTGGCAATAGCACGGTATATCTCGGCCTTGTGGCGCGATTTCTCCCACATCTCTGTCTCCTTATCACTTTCCTCCCAGGCCAGGTCATCCCTCGCCATGGACACATATCTCGGTTTGGGCGCCATGGCAGAAAACGAGTAGCCTAGATTGGGCAAAAGAAGTCGAAAATTGAAGTAATTATAGATCAGGGATAGCATTCACAGGGCGCATAGAAGTGGTAGTGTAAAAACTTGGAGTTGCTCAAAATTAATTCAATGTTATAAAATCATTATTATGTAGATTTTTGTCATTTACTAAAGTGGAAATCAAGCAGGTTGTAGATT